GGTAAAGATATTTGGATGTGGGTAATAAGTGAATATTTTTTGTATACTTCCCAAGAATGCTAAATGTTCACCTTTTGCTTTTGAATTAATTTGCAAAGGCTTTGTTTTGCCACTTATTTCCATAGTGTATATGTCTTGCGTTTCACTTGATCCTCAAGATAGTATGGGAATTGTATCTTTTACAAATGAGGAGAAAGACTCAGGTATAAATCAAACTGTTCAAGATTGAAAACAACTTGCTAGATAAGGATATATGGCTTATAGGAATAAAATTTATAGAATGACTGATTATAGGCTTTCTTTGGATGGCATCGTGTGTGTGTTAAAGTAACTTTTTAGATTAAGGCAGCAAACTTGCATAATTTGAATTAAATGGAAGTAACCTGCAAACTGGAAATGTTCTTAAAAATCCAAGAAATCAAGCAGAGTGCTTTTCAGAAGTATGTGAAGGAAGGAAGGTATACTTTCACTTGTGAAATGTCACATCTTAGTCATGGTCACTAACATGGATTGAGAATTAAAACAAGACCAGACTGAAATCCAAGGTAAAGCCAGATACAGAAGTGGCTTGGAAGCCAGAGTTGGAATTGTCAGTTAGGAAAACAGACGCAGGCAGGCTGTAGGCTGGGGGACATAGGAATAGGTTGTGTATCTCCTGGAGAGGAGACCTACCCAAGGCCGTCAGGTAGGAATTACCTTGACTTGGGGTGAAAAGTGTTGACATTATGACAGAAAAATCACAAATTTCCATGGAATTACCTTGACTTGGGGTGAAAAGTGTTGACATTATGACAGAAAAATCACAAATTTCCATTATCATTGTAAGGCTTAAATTGTTTGTGTTACTGGCCACAGAAGGAATGTAGTATATAGACTAGGAATGATAGAGCAGTTCAGTCAGTGCAGAAGCCAGTGAGTAAACAGGTGCCCAGCAGCTAGCCTAGAAACTGCTGACATCTTCTGTTTAATTGTAACACATTGAAATCTCTGAAATATGCTGCTTCTCTCAGATTTCTTGGTCACTACCCTCTTCTAACATTTTGACTAGGAAAAGTCATTTATTTACAGTTTGTGATTGCATATTTTTAACACAGCCTTTATTAGTACATTTCATTTATTCTAAGTTGTCTGTATTTTCACATTTTTAATAATTTGCAATTGAGATGGATCTTACAATTGATAGGATCTTAAATTAGAGGAAAGCAGTATTCAATGTCAAGTGATGTTTTAGATTCTTTCTCTGAGGAATGTTTATATGAAGATTCAAGCATAATTTTTTTTTGAAGTTGTACTTTTCCTGCATGAGTCTATCATGCTGTCAAATTAAATTGCAATTTGAACTGATAATACAAAAGTGATGAGTCTTAAAATACAGTTTTAATTCATAACCCCTAATCATGAGCTCAAGAATATTTCTCCTAGATTAAAACATTGTTCGAGGTTTCTAAAGAAATAATTTTAGGGAGGATTCACATGTAAGATGCACAGTAATTTCCTGACATCTCTCTAAATCATTTTGTGTGCATGCATGCATGTGTGCTTGTTGGGGGTGGTGGGGAATGGTATAATGTTTTGCTTAATAGTTGGTCATCATACCTTTGTGACAGTAGTATAGTGCAATTATCTTAGACTCCTTAGGCTCTTGGAAAAGAGTTAATGGAGACTGCAGAAATATTGTTTGGAGTTTGTCTAATGGCTTAAATATTCATTCTATAAAATACAGTGGTATTTGTCATTAGCAAAACATGCAAGTTATATAGAAAATGTTGCAGGCTTAAGATGATTAATGTTTCTGAAAACCTCATGCAACATTAGGGCCCTTGTAGATATAAATAATAGGCAGCTCACTGAAGTGAAAAATGGTCAGAAGTGGAAAATGGCCAAACTGTAATCAAGGAAATACCAAGTAGGGCCACAGTGAGGTCCCCCATTCACATTAGTAGGATTTTTTTTCAAGTGTTCCAAGATGGTGTAGGAGCTGTAAAGCTAGTGTGACGGGAGTAGCTGATCAGACCCCATCTTCTTTAGAGAGCAGTGTAGCACTACAGTTGCGCCATGACTTTTGAAGATTTTTTTCTAAAGCAATTTTAAAATATATTTTAAAAGCCCCTTTTTTACCGTATGTGGAAATTTTTTTATATATGTGGAATTTCTCGTGCTGTTTTAAGAACTTTGTAAGTACCTAAAACCCAACAATAGGGGTTAGCTAAAGGAACAACACTTGATGGGTCATTATGTGTTCATTGAACAATCAGTATACTGCAGTGTGGGTATCACTTGTCAGTAACAAAGCAGGTCTTAAGTTGTACATGGATTAGAGCTATTTTTAAAGATGTGTAAGGAAAGAAACGAAAAGTATGGTTTTGAGTTTGCGGGTCATTGTAAAGCATTATTTTGATTCTTGAAATTTCTCTTCATGATATCTGTTAAAGAAATGAGCAGCTGATTTTTACTAACCCCACCTTTAATGAGACCAGCTGTACTGCTGATTAACCTGGTCCCTTTTAGTTGCAGGTTAAAGAAAACCTATCTCAAAATAGCTTAGAATTTTAAAAATCTATTGACTTGAATAACAGAAGTTTATGGAGTAAATTAGGCACTGCTTAACCCAGGAATTAAATAATCTCAGAACTATCTGTTCTGTTCTCTGTTGATCTCTCCTGAAAAAGACTAACTTCTCACGATGGCCTGGGGAACATGTGGCCACTCCAGATTAGCTAAGGGTCCTACAGCTCTGCCTTTCTCCTCTGATTCTTAGGTGGTACCAGGGCAGCTGGTTCTTAGGTGGTACCAGGGCAACTGTGATTGATTGGCCAGCCCTGGGTCATGTGGCACCCTAGAACTCTAGGGTGGTAGAGAAAGTGCCAGTTTTTTTGTCACTTGGGATGATTTTGTTTTCTTTTTGCATGTTGTCATCTATTTAACCCAGTCTTCTTGATTTTTTTTTTTGTATTTAGATCCATAGTAGCATATATTGGCTGGAAGGAGGTGGTGGGGAGGGAGGAAGGGAGTTTGTGTGTGTGTGTGTGTGTGTGTGTGTGTGTGTGTGTGTGTTTAAAGCCTGCTCCTCGTGCCTCCCTGGTGGCGCAGGGAGTTAAGACGCAGCCTATGAGACTATCTGCAGCCACTGCAGCACAAGTTCGATCCCCCGCCAGGGAGCTACCCATATGGCGCAGCAGACCTCTCCTGACTCGCCCGCTGCTCCCCTCAGCAGTGTATTTCAGTCAATCTGCCTGTTCTGCTCCCCACTCTGTCTCTGTTGAATTCTCTCACCCCCTGCACCTCTGGTCTGTACCCCAGTTCTTGTATGCATAAATAAATCTTATAAAAAAAAATAAAGCCTGCTCCTCTTTGCTACTACCTTTTCCTGGACTTCTATTGAAACTTATTAAACTTTATCATACCATAGGTATTGACACATAATATGGTTATTTCTACAAATATTTCTACTTATTTTTCAGATTCAAATGTACATTTGCTTTCTTTTTGGTAGGAAGTAGTCATGAATCTTTCAGAAACCTTAGTTTATAGGCAGCCGTGAAAGTCTCCACTTGTCACTTTGCACAACTGAGTTAATTTTTTTTCAAATAGCTAACATCTTATTTTTCAAATATGTGTGTGTGTGGGGGGGATAATTCTTGAGTCCTTTACATAAAAATGTTGAATAGCACAGTTTCTTCAAAAGTAGCTTAATAAATTCAAATTCAGTGAAGGAATTTCCATGAACAGAGCAGTTGATTTAGCTATGTAAATTTCTAGTTTTAGCTGTACCATAAAAATGGATAGTTCAGATCCCTATTACATCAGGAGGTCCCAAATTATGTTCATATAAGATTCTATATGTATTTATCAGAGGAAGTAATTTCATGTAAGTTTGTGAAATGCTGAGCTAGTATTTACTACATGTGCATTTTGATTCTCTAAGAGCCAGGGATATAGTATATTTCAATTTGATCACCAAAACCCCATATATATAAAATAGAACAATTATTACTTGTTGTTTGGGAAATAATGCCCTAACAAAGTCTCTCTGGATCTTGGTCCAGTTTCTTACAAGTTTGGTTAAGTGATTTGAGGTGAATCTTTTTGAGAAATATCATAAGGTGGTTTTTCTTTTTTAGTGATTATGTTATGATCCCATATGGTGGCAAAGTTTCCTTTATAAAACTTCAAGGACCTGTCCTGTATTGACTAAAAGGACTATGCTACCTCCATCTTGGTGCAGAGTGAACTGCCAGCAGACAACCTCCCTACCTCCCTTTACACTAGGTACAGCTGAAATATTTACAAGCAGCCCTGTGGTCTGCTTTAGAAAGTACTGTTATTGAAACCCCAAATTAATTCACATGGCATGGAAGGAAGAAGTGAGAGTTTAACAGGAAATTGAGGGCACAAATTAGACATAACTTATCATGGAAGACATAATCCTATAGATTAGAACATTGAACTTTTATGCAATCCTCTTAAATCTGCTGCAATCAACAGTCAGTCCCCAAATAAAGCACAGCTAATTAAATGAGTTCATTTGTTGAATGGAGTTAAAATGAGCCATTTGATTGTTTTAAGGACATTTGCCAAAAACAGCTTACTTGGTTTTGGCATATTTAATATATTAGCTGGTATCTGACAGTAATTGGTCACAGCATAACTTTTTTCTTGAGACTGTTCCTGGAATGTACTAGTAATAGCAGCATAAAGGAGGATGACTATATTTTTTGATTGATAAGTAGGAAGGGGAAGGCCTACATGATTCATGTAAAAGTTGCATTTCGGTGCAAGTTAAAGAAAAAGACATAATCTGGTTTTTATTCTACAGATATGTAGAGAGATTCTTTAATTTTGCTATTTCCCACCAGAATTTTTGTTTTCTAAAATTGTCTTTTTATCATTACTAAAATCTCTTCCCAAGACTGTTAAAAGTAATTAAAATTGATGTGTAGCTATTTAAAAAAATCATGTCTCTACTCAACTAAATTATCAAACCTTTTCTTTCTTTACAGACTTAGCTTTGGAGTCAAACCCTTCTGACCATCCAAGGGCAAGCACAATTTTCCTGAGCAAATCTCAAACTGATGGTAAGACTGTTTCTTTTTCCTCTGAGAAAAAGAGTGAAAACTGTTTCTGTTTTGTCTATTAGAAAGTATTTAGAAGAATTCGTGCATTGGTTTAAGTGTCTCACTTTTTTGTGTATTCGCTTGTTTTATTTAATTTACTATGTGGTGAAATACTTTCCTTTAGTTATTGCTTTAGTGAAGAGAACACATAGTCTGTTTACACATTTTGCCACCTCTTTATCAACACAGCCAATTGGCCACATGATTTCGATGTGGTCTATTTCTACATACTACTTTGTCCTTTTCCCCTTGTTCCAAAGAGCATTCGTCTGGTTTTAAAGACAAATGGTAGGATTTAGATTGACAGTTTTCATTTGAACAAATGAAAATGAATTTGTATATGGGGATTGAATCTATAGTTTTGGCCCCATTTTACACAGTGATCAATCACATGAGTCCAGTTTCAAGTCCAGATTTATGATACTCAGAACTTTAAGCTGTTCAAAATTTTCTCATTCTAATGTAATGCGGTGCCAGGACATAGCAAAGCAAACCTGCGCTGTTGGATTCCCAGAAGGTTAACCTCGGCCTGTGAAACTGGTGTAACTGGAAACTATTTCTGCTTGCTTTAGGGTGAGAATCCAGAACTATGGGCTTTTTAGTTTTCCTGCTTGCTTACTTAACTTTCCTAACATTTTTGTTTTATCTAGTTATTTGCTTAAAGAAAAGCCACATATAACCAAATCTTTCAGTTGATTATAGCAGCAGGCATGCAAAAAGTCAGAGTTCCATAGTATTTGAAGAAATGAAGCACAATAAAAAAATGAGGGGGGTGTCTAATGTGCATTTTCACAGTGTTGGTATACTTTGTCTGTCTTGAGCAGATCTTTTCTGGTTAGAGTTCCTATAGTTCGCAGTTTCTTCCAGAACCATGGGCTTCTCATATATAGACTATGGACACAATAACAAAAAAACTGTCCCATCCCCTGTCAGTCAGTCATAAGTAATGTGTGCCTCTGCTGCCTGTCCTGAGCTCTGGGGTGGGGGTGGGGGAGAGGAGATTGGGGCATTGTGGGAAAATGTGTTGCCCAAACTGTCTCCAGAGCTTTCATTCTTCCAATCTTTGTTAAAGCAAGATGCTGTTGTGTGTTGTAGATACGTTGAATTAGGCTTGCACACTCCTTTTAGTAACAAGATAGGTTAATTGCCAGTTGTCTAAAGACCCATTAATTTTTTTAGTAAGACCTTTTAGTAGACTCCCTGTAAGTGTAAGTCTGGATGCTTCCAGAGCTACTGATGCATCTAGAAGAGATTAGTTCTTGGCCAGAAACTGGTTCTTGGAACTGTCACCTGTTAGATCCTGGTAATTAAAGTAAGTGGTGTATAAGTGTAGAATTAGAAAATACTACTGGGCAGGGGTTTCCCTAGTGATGAAGGGGGTTAAGCACCACACTATGAAGCAATTTGCAGCCTCTGCAGCATGAGTTTGATCCCCGGCTGGCTGACATGGTGCAGCAGACCTCTCCTCTCTCGCCCGATGCTCCCCTCAGTGGTGTCTTTCAGTCAGTCTGCCTGTTCTGTTCCCCACTCTGTCTCTGGTGAATCCTCTTACCACCACCCCCGCCCCCCATATCTCTGGCCTGTAACCCAGCTCTTGTATGCATAAATAAATCTTTAAAAAAAAAAAAAGAAAAGAAAATACTACTGGGCAGCAGTTCAGATATACAAGTAAATTTTACTACTAGCTAAAATTTTCACCTAGCCTAATTTGCTTTGCTCTTTTGTTTTGTATGTGGAGATCTTTCATTTGTATGTAATATCAAATACCTGCTAGTTCAGAATATAAAAGTTTTAATTAAATTTTTTTAATTGAGGTAACATGGTTTACATGTTGTACCTTGACATATATATGTATGAAACCACATCCACTACCAGAGGTCTAGTTACCATCTGCCACCATCCAATCACCTACCTTCACCAGTTTCTCCTACCCTCACCCCACCTCTTGTGGTAAGCATCATTCTGTTCTCACACTCTAAGGGTTTTTTTGTTTTAAAATTAAGCTTTTAGATTTTACTTTATGAGATTCATCTTGCAAGGTGACTTAAATTATAAATTTTGTTGGAAATTACTTTAAAAATAGAATGAAATTTCATCTTACTTTGTATATTGATAATCCATCAGATAATTAGCAACTACTTTTATTTTTCTATGGCATTTGTATCAGAATTGATCAGTTAATTTTTTTTATTCTTAGTGCGAGAAAAGAGGAAGAGCAACCATTTAAATCATGTAAGTAAACAGTTGAAAAGTTAAGAAATTGACAGTTTGAATTAAAAGTATGTCTGCCATGATTCCTGAAAAGTATAATGGACCCAATACAGTTAGCCTGGACCTCTTTTGTAGATTTTAAAGATTTCTTCTATTTTCCTAGTTATCAAATGTATACAAGAAAGTAGTGCCCATTCTTTGAGCGTTCTGGTATTTAAGTTTAGTAGCATGGTTGTGGTATAAAGTTCTGCCTTAAAATATGTTGCCTCAATTTTTTAATCTTATTTTTATCCCAAGTAACAAAGTATAGTGTGTGTTACTTTTTAGCACTGTCTATTGACTTCTGTCGTAGCAAATGAAAGCTCAGCTTCCTCACTTCCACATGACCTTATTTCCCTCCCTTTGGTCCCTCAGCATATATCACAGTTTTTACTAAATGAGAATCCGTGTTTGTTATTATGACTTCACAGATATTGTTGACTGCGGAGCCATGTCATTCTGTCTGTGTCTCCTCCTTGTAAGCCCTTCATTGTTTTTCCAAATATTTTTGAAGTCTGAGCACTTTTGCACTTTTCCAGGATAACCCAATCCTCTTTTTCCTAGCCAGCATCTCACACAGCTAAATGCAGTAAGTAGCTCCTTGGCTGGTCTCCCTTCTTTCCCATTTTTCTTTTGTTGTGGTTGAATTAATTTCTCGACTATATTCACTGTTTTCTAACAGCTCTTCTCCCTGCCCCCCCTCCCATGTTACAACATTTGTCACATGCCTATCAAAAGGATTTTCCAACTACTTAAACACATCTCTGTTCCATTTTTTTTCCTTGGTGAAAACCTCCCCCAGCCTTTTGTCAATTCTACTCCAGTAAAGGCTGGGTTTTCCCTAAGCCTGTTCTATGCCTCTTTTCCTGGGATATCTCTGAAGTCATCTGGGATCTCACATAACTGCTCTCTAGTGTTGGATCCCTTACATCCTAGTTTCTTTTTCCCTCTGTTTTGTTACACTCTCTTGTTTTTACTGGAGCACGTTTTCCTGGGGAAGGACACATGGACAGACATTTTTGGAGATCAAAACCTCTCTGAAACGTCTGTTTGATAAAGTATAGAATTTTAGGTTGAAACTAATTTTTACTTCTAGAGACACTTTATTGATTTCTTACTGTGTCCTTAAATATGTTGACATTGTATGATGTATTGTACATAAAATAATAATAATCATCCCCCTCCTAACCCCTTCCTTCTCTGCAAGCGTTTAGTACCTTTAATCCTTGGGATTCTGCAATTTCATATCCTTTATTATGGACCCTTTTGATTCAGTTGGACTTTAAATCTGCAGACCCTGCTAGTGAAATTTTTTGTTCTTTGCTATTTTCTCTTTTTTTTTTTTGGGGGGGGGGAGGTATTCCTTTTATTCAAATGTTGGACCTTTTAGACCAGTACTTCTGCATGGATCTCTTAATTTCCCTGTCCCCCCTCCTTTTTTCCATTTTGTCTTTTCTGCCTCTGGAGATTTCTTTGACTGTATACTCTGGCCCTTCTATTGAATACTTTGGTTTTTTTCTTATTTTTAACTTACAGAATTCTCCTGGGCTTTCAAGAGCTAGGCAAAGATTCTACAAAAGAACTTCAGGAGGGAAATAGCCCATGTAGTTCATGTTCCTCTCTTCCTTTGCCTTCTGCAGTGCCTGGGCCCAGCCATGCTTTATGTGGGGTATCCCTATACGGTTTGCTTCCCAAGCCTCAGTGGCCTTGGCATCAAGTCACTGATTACTAGCAGGCATACCACATAGAAGAAAAAGGAAAACAAGAGTTTTTATATTCTGTTACATTTTTAAATAGCATTTGGCTCTCTCATTAATGCAATTTTTTATCTTTCTGAGGGTGTCTTAAGATATTTTTTTTGTTTGTTTCCTTTGCTCTTGAATTTTATTGCTCATCAGTCTTACTGTTTTGATCTCTCTTGATTGTTGGAGGCCTCCCCGAAATGTGCGGTGGTCCCTGGCAGTGTCTTAAAATCTATTCACCATGAGTGAACAAAACTTGTTAACTGCATGTATTTGGGGGTCAAGCCTCTGAATTCTGAGCCTGCCTTGGGTTCTTTAAGACAAATTGACTCTCGGACCTCCCCGGTGGCGCAGCGGTTGAGCGCTGGGTTGTGAACCTGCCCGCAGCCTCTGCGGCGCCGGTTCGATCCCCGGCTGCTCCCCAACCACAGGAGGAGGGTCCCACATGGCGCACAGACCTCTCCTGCGGCCCGCTGCTCCCCTCAGCAGTGTACTTCGGTCCTTCTGCCTGCTCTGCTCCCCGCTCTGGCTCTGGTGAATTCTCTCACCCTCCCACGCTTCTGACTGTACCCAGTGCATGTATAAACAAAACAAACAAACAAATAAATAAATAAACATGCCTCTATTTAAAAAAAAAAAAAAAAAAAAGACAAATTGACTCTCTTTGTCCTCCCAGTGACATTCTTGGGCACCAAGGTTGTGCCTCCACTGTTTTGCCATGCAGTTATCATTCTTTTATCTGATCTTTTCATCTTTCAAACCATTAAAAATCATCTGCTCATCTTGTGTGTTAACCTTTTAAAATGCCTTTAATGAGAGGGTACTCTTTGAAAGGAAGACGAGAAGAAATAGATTTGTGGTCCATCCACCATATTTAACTCAAACATAGAACCTATATTTAAGTGTAAGTCTAAGTTTAAGGTTTTAATTCAACATAATTAATGACATTAATTCAGAGAATACTTTTGGCTATACTTGTAATTGACATATTACCCTTTTGTAGTAAGGCCTTGATTAAGAATTCTATGCAAACCACAAATCCTACTATATCATCCTGTTAATATGCAACAGAGATGGAAAAGTTTTCTTAGGTGCATAAAATGTTAGAAACTTTTAAGTTATTACGTCATTAATTCCTAAACTTATCTAGAACTTGACTTGTAAAAAGAGTGAAAGGAAAGACGTGACCTGCAGTATTACTTTTTAATGGGTTAAAATAAGAGACAGTAGGCACACGGGGGAAAGTCAGTGGGTCGGAGAAGAATTTTGACAGACACTTGATCTTTGGTGGTCAAGTTTGGGTTGTGACTCCTGAGACTTTCAGGTATGATTACTTAACATCCTTGGCCATTGAACCTTAAGACTGGTAAGTGAGCCTTGCCATCTTTTGTAAATGTCCCTCTTCTCTACCATCAGTGCTGAATGAATGAAGATAAATACTGTTCTTTGTCCCTGTCTATTGAAATATTACCCATGAACACACTCTACTGTCAACAGTGTTTTTCGCTTTTTTATATTCTTATGCATGTCAGTGTGGTTTATTGAGGTGGTGAGCCAGCAGCAATGGCAAGGCTTTAACCATAAAGGACAATTGTCTTGAATTTTCAAGCAAGATATGAGGGGAAAGTGACCTGCTAATGGCTAATACAGAGGCTTCATTCTGTCACCCTCGAGTACTAGACATGAAAAAGTTTGAACAGTTGGGAGTAGGCCTGGACTGATGGGAAAATAAATTCAGTGGTTTGTTGGTTGGATCTAGCCAGTAGACTGTAAATTGCTGATTCACTAAGTGAGCCCCTATAGAGCTACAAAACCACATCTAATTAAAATTCTAAATGTTTTAGCATTAATAATATGCATTCACAGTAGAAAAAAAATTAACTAGAAGAAAGTAGGAGCAAATATCACTTAAAAAGTCTACCACCTTGTCTATATTTTGGTGCATTTCTTTCCTATTTTTTATTCTCCCCTTATGTAAGTTTTTTGTATATTGACTTTTTGTTGTAGTATTTCACCCTATTATACCCTACAAGTAGTTAAGAGATAACTTTCCATTTAGAATAAAAGTATTTTAATTAGTTAATTTTTCATACTGGCTTTTTTTTTTTTTGTTTTGTTTTGTTTTTTGGTTTTTGTGGGTTTTTTTAGATTCTGAAAGTAAATTACAGTAACTGAATAACTTAAGGAATATATCAGTTTTAGATAGTTAAAACATTTCTAGCTTGATGAAGAATTTAGTCCTCCAAATAGTGGTACTATTAAAATATATAACATCTGGAACTTTTTGTTAATAAGGAATAAGTAATTTGCAGTAAAACATCTGAAACATAATGGTTTTATATGCCACATGGGTAGTGTTGGTTTATTGGCTACAGGCTGTGTATTTTAAAAAGCATAAACCAGATCTTCTCCCTGCCCCATCTTTTTATATGATGGGAGGGTGTTGACAGCATGGTGAAAATTATTTTATATTAACAGGAGAAGGAAGGCGCATCTGAATTAGTTTTTAAAAACATCCGCAAAACAAGCGTTAAAATTGTTGGTATTCTGTGGTATTAAAGAATGTTGCTGTTACTTTCAACTATTTACAGTGACTGGGATTTGTTTATTTGCCTTGTTTATTGGAAGGGAATTCTCCCAACATAGGTTAGGCTTTCATTATCTCACCCCTGCTGTATTGTTGGGCTCTTCACAAATAAATGGATACTTCTAAAGTGTTTTAAAGATAGTTTATTCTCTAGAAGGTCTCTAAGTTCATTGTCACTTCTCCAATACCACTTGTTAAATTCTAATTTGTATCTGTAATAAGAGTGACCTTCTATAATTGATTTTAAATAGTTTGTCAAAACACTTGAACTGGGGATTTGTCTCCAGTTCTGTGCTCAGCAGCTGGAGTTAGGAGGAGTAAAAGTTCTCTCTTTCCTGGAGAAACTTTCCTGGGGAGTGGGGGTGGTGCAGCAGTTAACCCCTCAAGCAGTTTGATATCATGTAACAAGAGGTCAGTTGACTTGTGAGGAGTAGAGAAAGGAAGAAGTTTTGTGGTGTGGCAGCTGGCAAGAATCTCCTGGAGGTAGATGGAATGAGAAGGGAAGGCATTGTGGCTGAGGACACAGCATGCACAAGGCAGGAGTGTTGTGATGAATGACAACTTGGAGATGAGAATTAATAAAATTTCAAGTTGAATGGAAAGTAGTCTCTGAGGTTCTTGTTTGTCTAATGGCATTTAAACATAAAATGAAAGCTGAATTTTCAATGTTTTACCAGTTTTGGATGTGAGAAAATCTTAAAAGTGATACTTTTTCTATCCTTCAGATAAGGAAATTGAGGCCAATAGAGATCTAGTCCCTCTCGCTTGTTAGTTACATACCAGCCCTGGCATACACAGCCTCTTCCTTGAAACAGTTATTTCCTCACACTGTCTCCTGAACTAGTATTTATTATTGGTTTTCATTTCCTGCAGTAAAATGCTCTTGCATCAATATTATATAAACAGCATTATTTTTTATTGTTCTAGTTGAAGAGTAGAAAATTTCGACTGCTTTTCCTTGCTTAAGGAAAAAAAAAAAACTCTGAAGTTTTACATTATTTTAAAGGGAATGTATAATAGGTACTTGCCAGGTTTGACTATAGGTACTATATCAAATGCAGCATTTTAATCACCTATCTTTCAGCTCTCCTTGGTGGCAGTTAGAGTACTCAGTGGGTTTCCCATAGAGCTGCACATGATACCACACTCAAGCAGTTCATGGAATGTAAGAAAAATCTTAATGCTTGATTGTTTGACATTTTAACCAAGGGGAAAAAAAAACCACACTTTTATAGGTTTAACTTACTGTGACATTTTCTTCTATTTCCCTTCCCCTTCAGGTATCTCCAGGGCAGCTTACTAAAAAGTATAGCTCATGCTCAACAATATTTCTAGATGACAGCACAGTCAGCCAGCCTAATCTTAGAACCACAATAAAATGGTGAGTACAACTAGGTTGCCAAGGGCTGAGTGACAGACCCCTTATGCTAACAGCATCCTAGCCATACTTGTCATTTCAGTCATCTGTCCTTTTTGGTGATTAGGCTAAGAAACTGGTGTCAACTATATTTAGATCTCAAAAACCTAACTATGAATTTTTAGTTTCTAATTTCATCTTACAGTATGTGGTAAAAAGGAAAGCCAGTTAGCAAGTAAGAAAACCCTATGAAAGTATACATCTGTACTTGATAACATTTCTGTTGTTTAGATGTTTTTGAACATAACAAGGAGAGGTGTTTTTTTAGTGAATGTTTTTAGAAGAAAATAACTGTATTTGTATTATAGGCCTAAAATACCATGTTCTGTTTTGGAACCTACTCTCAGAAGACAGAACAGCTTGTCCCCTACTGGCACCAGAGTGTATCTGCGTTTAAATTTAGTTAGATTTTGCCAGGTTTTCTCCATCACGATTCCTGCTCCTCCCTCTTGCCCCCTCCCCCACTTAAGTTCTGTATGAAATTCATTTCTGCTTCCTGTCCTCCAGAGGGGGGGGAATATATCAAACCAGTGTTAAGGAAAAAATTCTCAAGCTCAACTTATTTGTGAATGAAATTTATTCAACTGAGGTTTTACTTTTCATATATTTAATTTTATATGTGTGTATAGAGGTATAGATAACGTAAGTATATCTCTAAGTCATCATTGTCAATCTATATATAAGAAAATCATAGCAGAGAACAGAAAAAGATGATTGGAAACATAGCTGTGGTCAGGTTTATACTTTAAGCAAAGATGAATGCTGTCACGATGACGAAAACTAGTGTTAATTTCTGGGAGCATGTCGTTGGTCACAGTTGGAGATGCACTTTTTCAAGATTAGTTACAGAGGGGGAAAAAACAAAATGCAGGGCTCCCTAACTCCATTGAGTAGTCCAAGGAGAATTTTTTTTAATTAAAGTAACATTGCATGATAACATGTTTCAGGTGTTTGTTGTTGAGAATCAGCATGTCTGTAACTATGTTAAGTTACTACTAAAAGTCACAATCTTACCTCACCACATACCTCCCTGGGATATGGTTGGTGATTTACTAGAACACAGTTTGGGAACTACTACTTGAAAATATTAATATCCATAATCCCTAATTTTTTTTGTCTTAAAACAGTTTATAAACTTAATTTTGTTTCCAGTTTGCCAAGCTTTTTAGCTAATTAAATTATGACTAACTTCTACTTTAATTAAAAACAGGTTCACAGTCAATATATTGTTCTCTCAGGTGTAACAATTATTCCTATCAAATTGTTTCAGCAGAAACTGAATCCCAGATCTCTCTGAAGTCCTGACGTTTGGCACCTATTGAGTAATCACTGTCTGTTTTAATTCATTCAGGACACTAACTCCATGGGTAAAACCCCCTTCTACTCTGGCTGGTGTCCCAGTGTCTTTTGAATTGGAAAGATTCTGATGTTTTCAGTACATAACTCAAAAGTAGATTTAAAGTTAACCTTGCTCAGACATGTTTATCTCCCCGCCCCCCAAATAAGGCTAATTTTTGCAAATACAGTAAGTTTTTGCTCTTAAGTTTTAAAAAATGATCATTCAACATATTCACTATTAATGAAGTAAAAGTTTACTAAGAAAATAGGGCAAATTGGCTTTTAGGAATAGTTTTGAAAAAATAATCATGAGGTAGTAGTGCGTTTTCAATAGGGTGATGAGCCTTATTACAATTACTTTTATGCAACTTTTTTTCAATATATGCATCTCCAGAGACCTGCATTTCATCTCCCTTTTCCTCCCCCACATTCTCTCACAAAGCTATTTGACAAGCTGGAGAAGCATGTGAGGATAAAAACATCTGGAATGTTTGTGATCTTAACCCTAATTCATTCATTCCCTAAGGTAGCACTGCAGTCACATGGGGAGCTTTAAAAACAATCCTGCTGTCCCAGTCATATCCAATGCCACTTAAGTCAGAACATCTGGAGAGGAAGAAGGCGGTTTTTAAAGCTCCTTAGGTGATCCCAGCTTGCTGCCAAGCTTGGAAACCACTGCTTGGTGGGATGTAGGAGAAAAAGAACTTCTAAGCTATTGGCGGGACCTTTGGCAGTCTAGATTTAAGCCTTGGTTCCCTTATTTGTAAAATGGGTTTTCGAAATAAACGTCATCTAAGGTTCAGTGGTCCTTTGTAGCCTATCACTTTCAATTCTGTGATTTTAAAATCAATTTGAAGTTTGAAACTATTTGAAGCACTATAGAAGTATCCATCTTTGAAAGTAATAATGTCACAGGTCTTTTTATAAATGCTAATATTCTATAGACCTACTTATAAAATTCAGATTTGCCTTCCCTCAATTATTTTGAGCTTCACTGTAGACACTGAGGGCAAAGGGGAGCATGTCACTTACCACGAGAACCCTTTGTTGCCTGGTGCACAGCATCTGCAAATAATTAGGAATACAGTAGTGCAAAGAGTGACTGAGGACTTTAATATCCATTAATATTTCATATCAACTTTTTTGGAGATATCTGTCATTGTTCTACTGTGTGAAATTAAGCTGCATTGTTAGTACTGCTTATTTCAGGAGAGCTAGACCTAACATTGAGTTTGTGAGTACTTACTATATTTGCTATTAAATTGTCTAATAATTATATGAAAGTAATTTTAATTGGTTTTATATTGATAAAGAGTACTTTCATTATTTACTTTTAGGAAAATGGTGAAAAATGTATGGGTAGCTGGATAGTGAACAAAATCTATTGAAATACAGAGCCTAACAACGTTTAAAAAATGCAAAAACCTGCTCTATGGCTTAAATTTAAGAATTTATGGATATAAATGGATACAAATGGATATATGTACAAATACAAATGGATATATCTTGTACAGGCTGTGAAAGGTGGTGTGGGTGGAAGGGAAGATGATAAGGGAAATATATAATCATTTGTGTGTTGTGATACTCAACTGAAATTTGTCTTTTAATAACCTATTACTTGGCCTTTTGGTTATCCTGTTTTGGTCAAAAGCCAAAAAATCGAAAATGGGGACAATGCCCATATGAATTTTTCTGAATTAGAGGATTTGGAGGCTAGTGGGAATCTGGGAAGGTTTTAATCCCCCCCCCCACCCCTCTTAAAACAAATCTCTTCAAGCCTAACATAAAATCAATTGTTACAATGTTTTTTTTTCCCTCCACAGTGTGACCTTAGCAATATATTACCACATAAAGAACAGGTGAGCGTTTTGGAGCGTTTTTAAAACCTGTCTTGTTCTTCCAGCTAATTAACTCACAAGTAGGAAGCTTAGTATTAGGTAATAACTATGGACATTGTTGGAATACGTTGTGTAGTGCTTTATTATATCGAAGGGAATCATATGCTTTGTTTCAGGATTATTCTACTAATTCTCTAAATGATTGAGTATCCTAAAGAATGTTTATTTGGGTTGGATTATATTGATATTTATTAGAAATTAAAATTGGGAACTTAAAAATCAAATTTAAGTTAAGACAAAATTTTTATAACACTATTGAAATTTTCAGTCAAATAATTCTTTGTTGTGGGCGTTTGATCTGTGCATTCTAGAATGTTTATCAGCACCCCTGTCCTCTACTCACTAGATGCCAGTAACATCCTCTCCCTGCCTCCATCTGTGACAATCAAAAATGTCTCCACCGTGACCTAATGTCCCCTGGAAGACAAAATCACCCCTGATGGGGGATCATGGTGTTAAGTAATATTTTTTATTAAAATGACTTTTTCACAACCAAAAAAGTTGAGTAAATGTGTGTCATTGATCAATGATTTTGCAAAGCTCTTTAATGTGTGACTTAATAGAAAACAATTGATTTGTCCATATCAACTTTGTTGTCAGCCGTTTACAATCCCTTCAATCTTTTTTTTTTTTTTTTTTTTTTTTTTTAAGAAACAATATGAAAACGCAACCTCAAACTTTCAGGCATTCTTTGATAGTGTACCAAAAGTTCACAAGTGCTAGTTTCTTAAATTAGTTACAGTGGAATTTTAAATCACATCAGTGTCCTAGTACTCTGTTAATACCCATTGATCTGTTTTGCATGGTAAATGGCTGTTTACCCTGCATATGATTTTACAGTATTATGCATTCTCATTTGGAAAGGATTGGTTCACCTTTCTTGTGTCAGAAACTTAATTTTATTAATATCACCACCAGTCTTATCAGAAAAGTGCTCAAAAATTGATAAACTATCATGTTTACAGCAAATGGTACAGTTTCTCCAATCCTGCTTGATTGCTTGAATTTTATCATTGGCAACAAATAAACTGTTCTCCTTGAACTGACAGTCTCACTTTGTTCATCACTTGTATTTTGACATAAAAATGTATGAAAAGTGACTGACTTTGCTCACAAATCACAAGTGCCTTTCTTAACACACTCATCCTTGAGTGTGCAGAGTGCTTATTGAATACTTTCCACTTATCAGAATTTTGAAAAGAAGGTTCAAGGTTTAATAACACTATTAATTTGTATTGTTTTATCAAGGACATCTTAAGTGACACAGGAATATTTTTTTTCAATTGTAAGTGATAGTGAAGAATAGAATAACTGTTAGTAGTTTGAGGCTGCCTTGGTCCATGCTCAGAAACCAGCAGTTTTACTTGAGTTGCTTTTATATAATTCTTGCAGAGTATGGAAGCAGGTGATGTTTGGTTTTTTTGTTGTTTTTGTTTTTTGTTTTTTGTTTTTTGTTTTTCGGGGGTTTTTTTGGTGGGACCCTTGCCAGCGGCCGGGGAACTAACCGGCACCACAGAGGCTGCCTCTCGCAGACCAGCGCTCAACCGCTGCGCCACCAGGGGAGGCCCAATGTTTGGTATTCTTATAAAAGGTTTTGATCTCATGGACCTTCTGAAAAGGACTTAGGGGATCCCCAGGGGCTTGCAGACCACATTTGCAAACCAATGTTTCTTTAAATGAGCACATATTAATGTGGGGAACTTTTACATAACAAGACAATTATGTTTTTAACTCAAGCTATTTAAAAGAGATAAAGAAGGAATATACAATAAGAATGTAATACAGAGAACTAAAGAAAATAAAAATGCCAGCCATTACTGTTTTAAAAGATACTCTGTATTCCAATGTGAGGGTAAGGAGTGGAAACATATTTGGTTTATTAGCATTACCTGTTAGGGAGAGTCAGTACTTATAAAGGTATAACTCTGGCTGGTCATCATAGAAAAGATTTCACGGAACTTGATGTATGGAGTAAAAAGAGGTCAGGAGACCTTCCTAAGGTCAGAGAATACAGGAGAAGAATTTGTAAAATTGCTTGGTTGAAGGTTAAGCTTCTCCCTCCACCCACCCCCGCAACTTCCAGCAGATCCTTTGCTAAGATATTAGTTCCTGAATTAACTTTTTAATTGCACATTCTTGTTTTACAGAGATGCAAATAGATCCTTGGATATTTTTGATGAGAGATCACATCCACTCACAGTAAGTGTCAGTTTTATTGAAATTGTAGTTTTCTCATACAGTTGTGTTTATTTCATGCTGATTTGTTTTGAAATAATTGCTAGAAGAAAATCATCACTGTTAGCTTAAAATAAAAAATCATTTCTCTAAGTTTTCTTCCTTACCCCATATTGTATCTGATCATTTATGAAAGGAGTATGGTGTTAGGGATATGACAGAACTGAGTTGCAGAGTTGCATAATTAGTGAACTCTAAGGTGAGCATACCCAAATATCAGAAAATGTATCTTTTTAAAAGATAGTTTTCAGGGCCTCCCCGGTGGCGCAGCAGTTGAGCGCTGGGTTGCGAAGCTGCCCGCAGCCTCTGCAGCACCGGTTTGATCCTCGGCTGCTCCCTGGCCACCGGAGGAGGGTCCCACATGGCACGCAGACCCCTCCTGCCGCCCGCTGCTCCCCTCAGCAGTGTACTTCGGTCCTTCTGCCTGCTCTGCTCCCCGCTCTGGCTCTGGTGAATTCTCTCACCCTCCCGCGCTTCTGACTGTGCCCAGTGCTTGTATAAATAAATAAATAAATAAATATTAAAAAAAAAAAAAGATAGTTTTCAGTAGCATCAAATAATACAGCAAATATCTGTAAATAAACCTAACAGATATGGTCTCTATGAGGAAAGTTAGAAAACTATTTAGGGCCTCCCCGGTGGCGCAGCGGTTGAGTGCTGGGTTGCGAAGCTGCCCGCAGCCTCTGCAGCGTCGGTTCGATACCGGGCTGCTCCCCGGCCACCGGAGGAGGGTCCCACATGGCGCGCAGACCTCTCCTGCCACCCGCTGTTCCTCTCAGCAGTGTACTTCGGTCCTTCTGCCTGCTCTGCTCCCCGCTCTGGCTCTGGTGAATTCTCTCACCCTCCCGCGCTTCTGACTGTACCCAGTGCATGTATAAACAAAAACAAACAAACAAACAACTAAAAAAAAAAAAACATGCCTCTATAAAAAAAAATTTAAAAAAAAAAACTATTTAAATGTGAATCAATTAAAATAACAAAAAAATTAAAAATTCACTTTCTCAGGTGCTTCATAGCCATGGGTGTACGGTGGCTGTGGTCTGGGCCAGCACATCCTTTCAAATGTTATGGTCATAGGAAACTGACAATGTGTTTTCATAAATTGATTGTAGAGAAGTATGACAGATGGTGATCAGTAAGTCTTTCCACCCTAATCAGGTAGCTTGCACTTGGGAAGATAAGGTGAAAAGGAACACCCATAAATTTTCTGAGGGTTGTACCTGTAATGAATGGTGGTGAGGATCACTATGGTATTTAAGATCCCATTGTTTATATTTAAAAGTCTAAAAGACATGTCACCTAAGCAAAATTCTTTTTAAGGGCGCGTGGGCATGTGTGAAGACTGCGCTCTGAAGAGTGTACATAAATGTTTTTCTTCAATTGACACTTAACGTTGCATTTTTTTTCTTTCAGCGAGAACAGGTTCCAGAGGAATACTTTAAGCATGACCCTGAACACAAATTCATTTACAGATTTGTTCGTACTCTTTTCAGTGCCGCTCAGCTAACAGCTGAATGTGCAATAGTAACTTTGGTAAGATATTTATTCTTTCATAAAGCATCTTGTACTCGGGGTATGGGCCTGGTTTTCAAATAAAGGGTTCCTGAAATGATTATCAGAACTTCAAAGAGAAACCTGTCAAAGGCAGCAGGAGGCGCACATTCAAGATTAATACTTGTTAACAAAATAATAGGCTGTTAAAAGCAGCAGGAGAGATTTCCTGTTTCTCCCTTCTACTTCAGGGCACACGTGGCACTTGCATTGTGCCCATGCATGCGTGCCCACACACACCCACACACACCCACACACACCCACAAGGTGTGCTGGTGGGGTGGGGGCAGTCACAAAACCATGTGGTTTACAGGTAGGGCCTGATTCATTGTAGGTCTAAGCTGAGTCTTGTATTCCTGAGGCTCTATTCCCCAGGCAGTTCTGATGTGTGTCCTGGTTGAAAATTTTTACCGTAGCTGTTCGTTGGGCAGTGGGTGTTAATCCACCCTTGCTTTACTCTTGTGCCTGCCTGAAGTTGCCCGGAATTATATAATACCAGAAGTGCTTGGAAAGACTAGATCAGAAGCTGGCTAACTGTGCCCCAAAATAACCCACCAGCTCATTCCAAATAGGGACTTTCTGCTTTGAAATAGTGGGAGAAACCTGTACTTACGAGAGAGCAGGGTGACACAGCGGCCTAGTAGTCATTTCAATCTACGGAACTGGAATACAAATCTGAACTAGAGGTGGGGAATTAACAGTAGCTGTTTAGATACAGAAAAGTGTGTAGAATAAATAATGGGTAGAAGATAGATCTGTAAGGACTATCAGCACTTAAGGAAAAAGTCTCCAGAGAATGGCTGGGGTGGTAGGAAAACCAGGAGAGAAGAAATAAAAGAGAATCCAAGAATAAAGGTTTTGAGCAGAATGTGGTCACAGTGCTAATTGTGCTTATTCCATAACTACTCACCAAATATTTATTCTCTGTCATTATTCTAAGTACTGGGTATATAGAAGAGAGAGAAAGCCTTAGTAGGGCTTATATTCTAGTGAGGAAGACACATTTTTAATGGTGTTTTTAAGAAGATACATATTTTAGGTAATGATAAATGCCAGGAAGATAAAGCAGGGTAAGGGGAAGTGATTAGCAGGGCTTACTAATTTAGATAGAATGATCAGAGGTAGGGTATCTGTATACAGGTAGCATTTACTGGTAAGCTGGCTGAACTGAGGAGCATAGGGAGTTCTGGCTTTACAGGCAGAGTGGCAATTAGAAGACTATGAGATGGGAAAAGGTTCTCTTCGATGTGTTCCGGGAACAGAGAAGTGACTGGCATGGTTGCCATGAGAAATGAAGGAAAGAGTATTAAGAGATGAAGCCACAGAAATGCCTTGTAACTTGCAGACCACTGGTCTGATGAGAGCCCTTTGGCACATTTTGGACTGGGAAGTAATGTGCTCTTAATCTAAGAAACCATCGTAGCATGGCTGCGCTGTGGCATATAGATGTAGTGAGAGCCGGTGAGAAGTGACAGTAGAAAGCAGTCAAGTTACCAGTGAAGGTGGGATTAATAGAACGGCTGATGGACTCAAGCAGGGTAACGCAAACTGAGGTTTTTGGCCCCATCAAATGGGTGAGTGGAGTGCCCATTAATTACAAAAGAAGGCTTGCTGAAATTCTACTGACACAGGAAGGGTAAGTATTATAAATAAAAGTATTGGCATTCAAGCAGATTTGCCAGCAAAGGTTGAGAGATTGCCAATGCTATATAAGTACCTCTGATTTTTTGCATAAGTAGAGTTAAACCTTGTAGGGAGTTTCATTTTTAGAATACTTCAAAGTGTTCTCTTGTATGAATAAATAAATCTTTTTAAAAATTACTTCAGAGTGCTGAGTTTTGTGGGATGAGAGCAAAATTTCACTTAGAACATAAAATATTCAGTGACCATTTGTTTTTGAAAACAGTTGAATTAGGAGAACATTGGCAAGTCTGAGCTGTCAGTTGGAAAACCTTCAGATCATAAACATACTCTTACTTTTGTCTTTGTCAAATAGCATCTGTTCTCTTCTGCAGGGTGCCTTTTAGGTAAAAACAAATCATGGCTTACCTCCGTAAACCTTTACGCAGCTGTTAATTTGGCCCAGTTCTTTGTAGACTCGGCATTTGACACATGTAAAAGAAATCATGACATCACCTCACAAACTGCCTGGCAGGTTCCGAGGCATCCCAGGGATACAGAGACAGCCTTGAAACTAACAGAATCGACTCAGATGTGAATTATGTGAGACAAGTGAATTATGAAATGGCAATGGAGATGTGAAAATTAGGAGATAGGACTATCCTTTGTTTGCATTGTGTTCTTAACAAGGGTGGTAAATACTGAAGTCCCTGCTAGTTGACTGGCCTCAAGCGCACGTGTTTTTTTTGTTGCCTGTCCTGCTGCACCACACTGTAGCCACTGGGAGGCTCTCTTGACCACCAGTTTTTATCTTCAAGCTGATGCCACAAAAGGACTCGTGTAACCTGTTTGAAAAGGAGTAGATAGAAGCGCTATTATCAGGGTTTTACACATAAAGTCACCACGTAACTCCCAGCCAGGTATGGCACGTTGTACGTGGTAAGCCCTTCAGTATTACTGAACACCTGGAATCTGCACTAGGCCTGTGTATGCTGCCCTTCAAGAGTAAGAAGATAATAAATAACAACATAATCCGTCTTCAGGATGTGTTTGCTGAGATATTCATGTGTGTGACCAAACAAAATTGTGCTGGAAATCTGCAAAGGCAGAGTAAGCAATAGAAGTAGGCAGTTTTGGCTGGCTGAGCAAAAACTGTAGAATCTAAGGTGATAATAAAGGCATGTCAAAAACAGATGAAATCTGTCATTCCTAACAGTTCTTATTATAGCACTTCAACTGAACTGGAATCAAACACCAGTGCTCTACTTTTGCAGGTTTACTTAGAAAGGCTTTTAACTTATGCTGAGATCGACATTTGCCCTACTAACTGGAAAAGAATTGTTTTGGGAGCCATTCTTCTTGCCTCCAAGGTTTGGGATGATCAGGCTGTATGGAATGTGGACTACTGCCAGATCCTCAAGGACATTACAGTTGAGGACATGTGAGTGTATACGGTTTTGGTGAAGCTTCTATTTTCTAATATCCCAGTTGCTCCCCAATAAAGTTTACATTTTAAGAAATATTTTTAAAGTTATATTGTGTCCAGAACTAAAATAGGCATAAAATTACATATTTCTCTTTATCCAACTCTGGTATGACCATCTTTCCCATCATTAAATGGTAGGACTTAATGTGTCATTGTACCGTAATATGTTTAGTAAATGGAAATGTGTTTTTCTGGTGGTTTTTGGCAAACATTTTACAAGCTCTTTACATTTTACAAGCTCTTCAACACACTCAGCGTCTTGATGGGTTCATAGAGCTGTCTGCCTTCCAGCCTGTTTTTTTAAGCAGCAGATGTCTGGTCTTCGAAATTAGTGTTTGCCCACTCTTAAGGTCTTAGGGCCTCTAGACTATTCAAAGATTATTCCTTCAACCTGAATCACACATTGTATATTTGATTTTGCTGGATTTCTCTTTTTCTTTATCTGAAGTTCTGTGGTTAGAGAAACTTGTACTCCTGTCTCTTCCTCTATTAGTATTTAGAAATGATCTGACGGGTTAGGGAGCTCTATGATCGGCACTGTTGGGGGCTCTCAGTTCACTATAGGAGGTGCTCCTTGTGGGTGTGGCATGCTAACATGAATAGGAAGGCTTTCCATCTGGCCCCCTGGGTTGCTCTGAAAAGACCTTAAGGGTGGGAGGATGAACCAGAGATGTAGTCCCCGCAGACTCTCAAAGTACCCGCTCATCAGTGACAATGTTTTTGTGGGTACCATTAAGGAAAATGTGAAAGAACACCCTTGAGTATATGGAACAGCATAGGAAGGTCAATATCGTGGCAATGGCAGTGTTGTCATTTTTCCACATTACTCCAGGTCAGTCATTCAGAATTACAAAAATGCATAGTTACAACTCAAGTGAGGAAGTGAGGGGACTTGTAAGAGAAAAGATACCAGGGATTGTTGGTAGCTGTTGATGTAGATTTTGGTGAAAATGGCTCCTTTGGTAATAGTATAGACTGGGTGAATGTGGTGATGTCGCTGGTAGCCATTTTAGTAGACCATGTGCCAGTAAATAATGAATTTGAAATAATGGAAGTATTTTTGGAGGCTGAAGAAACTAGAGTGACTTTGATCACTGTCATCAGTCTTCAGACTGGTCTCAGGGAGAAAGGAAAATCTGTGATCATGAATACTGTCCCCTGAAATTTTCTCAAAACCTACAGCTAAGCTGATGGAGACTCTGGCTCTAGTTTGAACATCAGAGAACATGGAGGAAAATGTGTGGATTTTCATAAATGTGTATGCCAGAAGCAATAGTGGCAGTCTCTAGCTGCAGGAAGACTAGTTCTAAACAATGCTTTTTGTGTCTGAACAGAAAACACCAGGAGCTATGTTTATAATAGGCTGCTTTTGTTGATGATCTTTCGAAGTTGGACAGCATTACAACAAAGTGTTAAATATTCCTTTGTTTCATCCCCCTGCTGCTGACCACTGTTTGTAATGGTCTCATTTTGTGTCTAAATTGAAAAATTAGTGTATCAGCTTTTCTTAAAAGATCTCAACATTTATGTGTCTTGATAGAATATATTTTCCTTCAAAAGAATAAGTTAAACTGAGCAGCTGCTATTCAGAAAATTTGCTGTGCCTGTAAATGGTATGCTATTCAGCCATCTAGCCATTTAAAAAACACAAAAAACCCAGAAGATGAATATTCTGTAGGCATAATGCTTTTCTTCAGTGATTAAACCTCTATTAATAGACATGTTAATCCTATGAAGTACTGTATTTCTACACAATTAAAATGTATTAGTGGAGAAAATATAAAAGGGATAGTGAAGTGCATTTATTCCTGTAGTAAATTAAGTCCTGATTAGCTAATTATCAAAACATTATCTGATTTACATTTCTATAGACTTATGGCCATATGAACAGGAAATTAATTTTGGAAGTAGTTCCAGTTGGGTTTTTAAAGTTCAACAAATGAGCCTCATCTCTGCTCATATTCTGACTGCTCTGTGTAGGAGAACGTCAAAGATTTGTTGGCCTATCACATGGATAAAATATTAAAACTTCAGAACCAAGAAAGCAGTGTAATAAAATAATAAGTCTTTTCATATTTGTTGAGGTATTTACCATTTTTATTTAACTAATTCTGTAAAGAGGTTACTGTGAAAAATGGTAAGTTTTATTGATTTTATGTTTATCTACTTAGGCATTTGGCCAGAAACAGTTGTATGGTCATGTAGCAGACCACCACTTGGAGCATTTTCCTTTCCCAGTTGAGTAAAACTGCCCCCCTGCATGTGTGCACATTCTGATCTGGCCAGGGCGCTGGTGCTGAGCACCTCGGGTTGCAGTCCAAACGTGGGAGAAACACTGTTGAGTCCAGTGCGCCATCAGAGGTCACGTCACAGAATGAATGCAGTCAAGCCAAGACAACTGTCTTACTTTCCTGTCTTCCAGTATTTAAAAAGTGCATACTGTCTTGTCGGTGACGGTTTCTTAATCCTGGTAAGATTAAGGTGAACAGAAACTTGCATTATGCCCTTTGACATAGCCCCTTGCATGGGGGCAGGGGGGAAGGATTCCCTTTCCCATCGAAGATAGCTTATTTATTTATTTATTTATTTGAGATGAATCTTTGTTGCCTCAAGAGTTTTTCCCTCTCAGAGATAATAGCACTGGCTCTCGATGGATCCATTTGTTGCCGTGGTGATGTGCCCACTCCTTTTGTTGGCGAGTCTATACTTCAATAAGCCCCTTCCTGTTATCCGTCCTGGTGAAAATGTCTGCAAGTTCTTCAGAGCTAATAAACAGCACACATCATTCCTTTCATCTGATCACTATAGTGGGGCCTTGTGAGTGAGCGTGGAGCATGAATCGTACAGCTGCACTAATGGAACTCTGAAGAATGAGCCCCGAGTCAGCAGCACGAGTGCATAAGAGGGCCATAACCTCTTCCCCCTTGTCCCAAACTAAAAGTGCTGGGATGCAGAAAGGGCCACAAATAGCTGTACCTTGTTTGAACATTAGTGTATTAATCCAGCTGGGTAGCCTTTATTTGTTTCAAAACAGAATTTATAGCCATCCTAGTAGCTCACAAGGGTGTTTTGAAGATCGCTCAGTTGACTAAAATTGTCCTGTATTGGTTTTGTTGTCTCCTCCTCCCCCAGGAATGAGATGGAAAGGCATTTTCTGGAACTACTTCAGTTTAATATCAATGTTCCTGCCAGTGTTTATGCCAAATACTACTTTGACCTTCGCTCCTTAGCAGATGACAACAACCTGAATTTTCTGTTTGCTCCTCTTAGCAAAGAAAGAGCGCAAAACCTAGAGGTAAGGCTGTGAAATCACTAAATGATGTTTTCTCTCAGCGCTAATGCCAACACATGTGGCTAGGCCATAGTTAGCAGTGATTAGGAAAGTGGTTAGCTTGTAAGTCAACACACTGAAGAAATTATTACCCTTTGGCATCATATTTCCTGTCTGTGTTATGGCTTATACAAGCATCCTATTTTATACAGAAAATTAGAGTACTACTTCTGTGACCACAATTCAGGATATTTTAAATCTCTTTTTAATGGTTTTCCATTTGAATTTCTACCTGTCCGTGTAATCATACATGAATAACTTAGTTATATCCCTAATCACAGCTATATAGGTAATCGGCTTACCACTCCGAACTGTCTTTAACTCAGTTTGCAAATTCATGTCAGTGTTTTCTATATACATCGCAGTTGTTAGACAAAGCATTAGTGGCTAACCTGTGAGTCTGTATTTAGAGTATATAATGCATTTCAAATATGAATGCGTTTTAATGGAGATAGTAGTATCTATAGGACAAAGTAATACGGTTTACGACTTTTGGTGAGAATACAGCAAAATTATTCAGAATTGAAATGAACACATTTAAAGTTGACCCTTTGTGTGGTACTTGGTGGTAACTTTATAAGACTACATTTTTCCATAATGTAGAAGTGAGATATCACCTTTTGGTGCTTCAGGCATTAGACCTCTCCTGCCAGTAAAGTCAAGCACATGCCTGCCTTATTAAAATTTGCTTGACATATATAATGAATGAAGATGGGAAAGAATTTGAATAGCTGAGAAACACTTACTTGCCCAAGAAACACCTATTTGCAAGTGTCCAGGTAATAGATGATACTGCTGCGAGGAACCTGTCACAATACCTTTGATATCTTTGAGGACACAATTTTTAAATAACTGCCCTCTCAGCCCCAACACAGGCACCCAATTTCAGCATTCTGATCTTAACCCTTGAAGGCTATTACCGTAGTGAATTGGCAGGAAGACAGTGCCCAGAAACTAGCAGTGTGGACTCAGCTATCCAAAGTAGCAATAAGTAGGAATTAACTAAAGGAACACAGACCTGTGACTTCTTAGTGTTTTTGTTTGAGATTGGAACCCCCCTTTTTAAAAATTGTACCTGTGTTCTGTTTGATTGATTTTCCTAGGCCATTTCCAGATTGTGTGAAGACAAATACAAAGACTTATGTAAAGCTGCCATGAGAAGATCATTCAGTGCTGATAACTTCATTGGTATTCGGCGTTCTAATGCCATCCTCTCTTAAGGGAGAACTGTGAGGGACTATAACATCAGGAGCCCCTCATCTGCAAAGACTGGAGAATATCACCTCTCCTGCTCAAAAACCAGCAAAGTTAGTATTTTCACCCAAGAGAAAGACATCGAATTCAAGAAACTGATGAACAGCAAGGATGACACGCATAGGAAAGAATGGGACCTTATCAGTGCAACACACTCTTCTGTCCTTTTTAATGTAAACAGAGTTACAAAAACCACTCCAAAGCGAAAGCTCCTAACCCACACATGTATAATTTGCTTACTTTGTAGGCCAATAGCTGTGAGTTATGTGAGGTTTTTTAATAGTTTAAATTTTTAGATTTTTGAAGACACTATATAGCTTTTGTTTTTCATATTTTTCTTGACCCCCCCCCCCATATTGCTGCATATGCCTTTAGAATCCAATGCAGTATTACCATTAAAACCTGGGACTCTGAACTCATTAGGAACAGATCTAGCCAATAGATGTGGAAGGGTTCTTGTCCCCAGTATTTCATTGAAGCTGCTAGTCATTATTGGCAATCAATTTAAGCCAAAAAGCTGCAGAGTAACCCTTCTCAAATTCTTTGCAAGCACTCCTTACTAGCTTATTAGCATGTTTGGGATCATAAACACAGAAAGTACCAGTCATTTTCTACTTCTGTTGGGTCCGTGCTGCGTTTCTTGAGAACTATAATGGTGCTTCTCATTTTCTGATGATTTTCCTCTTTAAAAAAATGTAAGATATTTTTATAATTACAGCCAACATGGTGGTCCAGTAATAATGAGCAGAGAGTGAAACACAAGGTGTCCCCAAAGCCTAAGTGCAGTTTTAAGCTTTAATAAGAGTGTTCTTGGGCCTTCCTGCACACTGCTGAAGTGTAAATGCCACAAATGTAGAAAACACCATTTGAGAGTTTAAATTTCTTTTAAGCATATCTAGGTTTAAGTTTAAAAATACTGAGCTTTTAATTCTAAGTTTTTGTTTGAACCACTCTTGGAGATGGCAAACACTGAAACAAAAGATTAACAGTATAAGCTCAATATTATAAATGTATAAACCTAGATAAGCTTAAAGGACTTAATGAAACTTTTGAATCATGTTTTCTACATCTGTTGACATTCACACTTCTCCAAGTAACAAAGCTTAAAATTGTACTGATAACTTTAGGGATGCCTTATATCTTCATAGATGTGCCCTCCGCCTTTTAAAATGGTTCTTTGCAGGGTTGTGCTCTTTACCTGCTCTGATCATCTGTTTCTTTTTTCTAGATTTGGTAAAGATTCTGAAAAGAAGTTTTAATTTTCATGTAGTAAATTGAAAGGAACTGGACCCTAGTAGCGATATGAAAGTAAGTGAGAAACAGCTTTTCTGTCCTACACCTTAACCCGGCTGTAGGTATCCTGTTTCAAGACCTGCTATGTAAGAGGAAACAAAAAAGCATAGGAACATTTACCTCCAGCTTTAAAGGGCAGGGAGTTAAGGAATCAGTCTTTTAGGAGATGGGTAAGATTATTACCTAACCTTGAATATTTAAAAAAAAAAAAAAATCAGTATTCTCAACTATGTGAAATTCACATGTAATCCTAGGAATTTTGCTTGCAAACAAAGCATTTTTGGGCCAGGAATACTTTCTCAGTACAGCACGGCTTCACATTATATTGAGTGCTGCATTTTCCATCATTTTTAAAGGACAGAGACATAAATGATAATGGTATAAAATAATTACAATCTACCACCTCAGAAAACACTGTTTATGGAGTTTGGAGCTTGGAGATTCAAGTATTGATTGCAGTTTTACTTTGAAAAGGATGCTACAACTTAATGTGGTTTTTCTTTCTTGTTTATATTAAAAGAAAAGTTAATAAACTCTATTTTAATTACAATATGGCTAGTGTCTAACACTTCTCTGGTCACACAGGGTGCTTCTCTGCCTAACTTCAGTGGTGTCATTCAGCTCTTTAGTGGAGTCCTACAGCATTTTCAGACTGACTACTCATGAGTTGTTTTGCCCCTTGCCTCTAGTTAAGATGTAGTTATTTATTTCTTTGGCATTTGCTCTTTTCAACATGAAGACAGTTTATTACATTTAAAATCACCCTGGCCACAGTACTCAGTGACATGGTACATTAAGTGGCATCTTTGAATAGTTCTTGCTGTGCCAAGAGTGAAAAGCATATTGAAGATAAAATTAAGTTTACCAAAGAGAAAGGAATTACAGGCAGACTGTAGAATTGGAATTAGTTGAAGATTTCAAGCAGTTAAGCAGAAACAAAATGGACCTAGAATTGTGCTTGCAGTAAAACAGGATAACTTAAACCAAGTCACATAATTTGACCTTAAACTCCTTTTTTCCTACTTAACATTTCAGTTAGAAATAAACCAAAGATCTGCAAGGTTTCTTGAAACTAAGACCCTAGCCACCAGCTCAAGCAATACTCAGAAAATCCTAGAAGTATTGCTATATTTTCATCCACTTTATTTCACTACCTACAGTCAAATCTTATCACTTTGTTGTTGATCGAAATGCTGACTAGGATAAGCGGTTTAACTAGAAGGGGGAAAAAAACCAACTTAATCATAAATCACTTGTTTTCAGGATAGTTTGCATCCTGTCATATACCAGTACATGCTGACACACGAATAGTCAAAGTTGTTTTTTTTTTTTTAGTTGGGGTAGGGGAGACACTGTACATGACTGGCTTCAAGAACCAATTGGGGCCTCCCCGGTGGCGCAGCGGTTGAGCGCTGGGTTGCGAAGCTGCCCGCGGCCTCTGCGGCGCCGGTTCGATCCCCGGCTGCTCCCCGGCCACCGGAGGAGGGGCCCACATGGCGCGCAGACCTCTCCTGCCGCCCGCTGCTCCCCTCAGCAGTGTACTTCGGTCCTTCTGCCTGCTCTGCTCCCCACTCTGGCTCTGGTGAATTCTCTCACCCTCCCGCGCTTCTGACTGTACCCAGTGCATGTGTAAACAGAACAAACAAACAAACAAATAAATAAATAAAACATGCCTCTATAAAAAAAAAAAAAACTTTAAAAAAAATAAAAAAAAAAAAAAAAAAAAAAAAAAAGAACCAATTGGTAGAATCATTAGAATCACTGAAAATGCTCTCTGGCTTTAATTCTAGAAGGCAATGCAAGCCATCTTAATGAATGGGAAATTGAGTCAACTTCGGGTCAGAATATAGGGGTCACTGAAAGGAAAAGGTTGACAAACGTGGGGTTGGAAACTAATCACTACTAGGATGATAAGGCATTTTTATAGGTATAAAGGTTATGTTCCCTAAAGCATTAAGAGCATGTAAGAATAGCCTACTAGCTCAATTCAAACTTCATTTTTTCACTATTGGAATACAGACCTTAATGAAATTTTAACCTGCAATCAAATGCTCTACCCATGAACTATGTCCCCTAAGTCTGGAACAAAGTAAATTCAATTTTTAATAGGTCTTCGTTAGAAGGAAAAGACAAAGGTCTAAAAAATGGTTCATCCCAAAAGAACATTTTAGGGCCCTGTGTGTCCGGTGAAAGAGGAATTATTTTTCATACCACATCAGATTCCGTCAGGGCCCTTTCACATTTCCTGGGAATGTGCCCATGTGCCCATACGTTATTGAAATCCAACAGCACTGAATCCTGGCTTCATAAAATTCAAGATTCATATCTTGGTTTAGTTTTCCTAAATCTATAAATATGCCAGTCCTTGATTTTTGAAAAAATGCTGACACCGAAGAGAAAAATGCTGACACCGGTATTTGCCAGGGAACAATTTACTCCATATTCAAGTTATGCAGTTTTGGGGGAAAAATTTTAGCAACAGCATGTAGATTAGCTAAAATCTTTCATCACCCAAGCCTTCTCCCTAACCGTATCCAAAGTGACTTAGTCTCACCCAGAAGTTGCATTCTTGAACAGAGCTACTTGGAAAAGTACTTGACAGCTGACAGATACCTCCCAGTAAATGCTAGTTTCTATACAGAATCTATAGTTTGCACTCAGCACCTATCAAGTTAAGGTTAGATTACCTAAAATTCTGTTACCACTTAACGCAGTAGGCCTGACCCTGAGCGAGCAAGCAACACAAATGATCTAGGAAGCTTCCTGCAAAGCCTGCCCCCATCCCTGGACACAGGCTCAATCTGTTTGGTTTCTGAGGCAGTTTCTACTGAACTTTTAAATGGGTTTGGCAATGAGACGATACGCACTTGATGTGAAATTTTAGTATCAGTGTGTGATTTAGGATCTCTAGGGTGCAGAAAGAGCTAGGAAAGTGAAAGTATACAAATTCAAAGGATCCTGAGTCATGAGAAAAGTTTAGCAGTCCTTTTAAAAGGAACAGGTTAGGTGATGATTGAAACTGCTATTGAGGTGGCCTAGGGGTTAAGTCTTAAGCACTATGACAGCTACAGTCTTGAGTTCCATCCCCAGCGCTGACCCACATGGCGCAGCAGACTTCCCCTGTCTTGCCCGCTGCTCCCCTCAGCAGTGTATTTTAGTGGATCTGCCTGTTCTGCTCCCCACTCTGGTGAATCCTCTCATTCCCACACCTCTGGCCTACACTCCAGCTCTACACAAAAACAAAACTGCTATTGAAAGGCGCGAAGTAATTTGAACCTGACTAGACAAATTTCAGAACCCAAGGTTCTCAAGACCGCCAATTAGTTTAGCTTTAAGCATCTAGTCATCTTAATACCCTTCTTAATTCCACTAACTTTCTAGCCCTCTCAAAGGTGGCCCCTGTATCTCACCATTTTTCACGGCTCTTGAGGGCCCAGGGTCACCTCAGTCTTCCCCCTCTGACCTTCTTCTAGTGTCCATTGTGGCTTGATGTTGGTTGCTATTTCACCCATCTCCAAAGCATTATTACCAGGTTCCAGGAAATACAAGTTTATTTCCAGGACATAAAAATTTACTCACAGGCTAACTAGCCCTTTAATCACCTATTTTGAACCCTCCTGTGTTTCTCAAAGTAGCTGAGAACTTACTGCACTTGCTGACTCCCCAGAGCCGCCCACACCTTAGATGAATCTCAGTCTAGGCAGCAACCCCTTCAATTCCAAAATTCGGTTCATCTGGCTTTAGGAGTAGAGGCCTTAAGGTAACCCTGTCTCCTTTAATGGCGGGGATTCCATCCCTATCTAAAATCAACCTTGTTTCTATCCCCCTCCACCAATTTATTCTCTTTTGCTTGAGAATTACATTCTTCTCCCCAAGATGGGGGTGGACAATTTGATTTTGCTCAGGCCTTTACACATTCTAGCGTTTCTCAAGATTCCTCTCATCAGCTGGAAGTGCCTATGAAAAATGAAGCTTCTCTAAATGTAATGTGGAATCCTGGATTGAATCCTGGAACAAATAAAGAACATTAGTGGAAAATCTGGGGAAATCTAAATGAAGTCTGGAATTACTAGTACAATGTGCCAATGTTGACTTCTTAGTTTGACAAATGTGCTATGATAATGTTAACATTAGGGGAAAGTGGGTAAGAATTATACAGGAACTCTGAATTATCTTCGCAACTTTTCTGTAAACCTAAGTTAATTCCAAAATAAAGTTTACTTGAGAAATGCAGTGGCTTCTTGTGCCCCAGACCTACTGAATCTCAATTCCTGGAGCTGAAGTCTGGGAATCTGCATTTTTAATAGGAAGTCCAAATAATTCTTATACGGACTCAAATTTGAAAAACCTAGCCTTCCAATTCCTTTTCCATCCTGTGCCTCAACAGCTGCTTCCTCCTTGCTTTACTTACCTTAAACTAATACAATCCCTTAGATCCCCTGAACCCTAAGATGTAAGTACTATTTCACACAAGAGAAAACCGAAGTACTGAGGTTGATGTGTCTAGGATCCCATCACCCATAGATGGTGGAACTGGAATTTGAACCCCTTGCCTGTCTGGCTCACAAGTCTACGAACGTAACTACTCTGCATCTCCAGCCATCCGTCGAGTTCCCATCCTTTACAGGATGTGACCAGGTAAGGCGCTCTGGCACTAAAAAGCATTACTAATTTCTCCAAGGTTCTAAGTCCTACAGTCCCTTTGCACCAGCTTGTGACTTTGCCCTTTGCCCACTTCTATTAGGAGGAAAAGCACATGAAAGTGTGCCAACTGGACTCCTGTACATGTAAGGTACAGTTTCTCTTCTGTCAGTATCCTGGTCAATTGTATTTTCTGTTTCTCAACTTCCCTAACTTACGTACAAGTCTAATGTGCATAGCACACACTTTGATTTAAATTACAGATTGATATCCTCTTACTAGGTTTGTCTTATTTTCTCCAAACATTTTAACCTCCTCAGGCCCCATCATTTCCCATGTACTTGTGCCTCAGCATTGCTGGAGAACGCTGACGCTGGGTATTAACAGTTGATGGCTGGGAGCCGGGTGGCTAATCTGCATTTCATCAAAACAGCGGCCTCTAGAAAGTACTGATGAGACCACCGCAGGTTGCTAAGCATCTGTCCAGGTTACCTTGGAAGTGCCAACTCCAGACCTGTCTATACCTCTCCTTTGGGTTCCCTGACTTGTAGCTAAAGCTTAATACCACTTGTGTATCTATGCTGAGTGAGGCAGTTTTGGGAGTTCCTGCCCCCAATCACACACACAGAATAGCACCACCGCTATTCAAACAGTTCTGTAGAGATTATAGGCAGAAAGCTGGTAAAATGGAACACGGTCTCCGGCAACGTCCATCCCGCGGGTTTGCCTTCATTTCTTCCAGTGAGTCATGAAACGACCACAGGGTCAGCAGAAGCCCATGCAGTAGATTCAAGTAAGTCGTTTTCATTAGTTCTGATGATTGGAATTTGTATTATTTTCTTATTAATAAAAATGTTGCCACTTGTATTTTAAGTACATCTGAGAACCTGATTATGAAGTTAGAATCCACGAATCTCCTCAGATACACTTCGAAAGGAGTCTCTCCATAAAAGCATGAGGAGAAAAACACTTGTACAGCATCTTTTTTTTTCTTTACCATTGCTTTAATGCACTTTAAAATTTATCTACATTAATTGGGAACAAAGAAACAAAAATAGACATTTCTTTGTTTTTCATAAATAACTACTCTTCATATTTAATAAAAATCTCAAACCATTATTTTACCTTCCCACAAATATAATACATACAAATTTTTTCTGAAATAAGGTCAGCAAATTAAGTATCTGGAGACTAACATAACCACAGACAATTGCTGTTCTACTTACTTCCAGGAACAAAACCAAACCAAAAACTTATCAAGATGCTCTGGGGTTCCTTTTGTTAGTGTTATGGATTCAGAATTGTAATGATCTGCCAGTAATAATTTATAGATTCAAGTTGATTGTCTACAAGTAAAATATCACCGGCTCTGGTTTGTGAGTTCTGAATTTAACACGACAGTGAGGATACTGCCCTGGCTAGGCACTATACATATGTGGAAATCATGAAAAGTACTGAATGCCCTGGACTCAAACTACTGACTCGGTATGTGCCTCATTTGGCTCAGTAATAAATTCACCAAACCCGTATCAAAAGTCACTAAATCTCTCATATATATAATATATATTATGTATATACATACCAACAACACATACACACTGTACATACAGTTTGTAACAACATGAATAGTGTCTTAAAATGATGCACCACAGACATTGTCCTGGCTGAAATAAATCCTGTAATTGTCATCAAGCTGCTAGCAGCTTTTGAGAAATGTGAGTCGGGCTACTTGCTTGCATCTTGCCTCCCCTTCACCCTGCTTTAATGTCTTGGTAGCCTTTTCTTTCAGAACCGCCCTCCCCAACCCAGGCCTATTTCTTTCCCAGGATCACTTGATTGGACTGTGGAAGCAAGAAAGGCCATAGAGGGGGAGCAGGCAATTCTCAGCCACTGCACCTCACACCTGCCTGGGTTTGTGATGTCCTGTCCTGTTTGCCACATTTGGTGTTAGAAAGCAGTTATTCAAAGCTTTGTCCCTTTTACCCCCCTTGGTCTTTCTGTAAGAGCACAAAAGTGAAAGAAGCCTCTTTAGCAGGGTAGCAGTTCATTAAAATATACAACTACATTTCCTAGCTCTGGGGTTCCCATTCTGTACTTGAGAGTGCAGGTCACGGATGCTGTTATTAAGGTTCGGTGTGGGATCCATGAGGTTTCCTCCCGGCAGCCGGTGTCAGGATTAGTGCAGCCCTGGCCCAGGAGGAAACAGCCTAATGAATACCAACTTTGAAACAGTGCTGTCGGCACATTATTTAAGCTTGTACATGCGCACAATTACACACAACACACACACACACATACACAGAGGCCTGTCACTGGAAACGGTCACGTGAAAATATGACAAAGGTTTACAAGGATAAACCAATAAGGCACCAAGAAAAATGATTTTCAGCCCATTTAGACAATCCAAAATGTGTGGAGGGAAAACATATAAAAAAAGACTTCCTAAAGCCTGATCAAGTGATCACTTGAGGTCACATGAGTTCCTTTTGACAACCTTCTAACTAAATCTTCACCCCCTTATCATTGCTTAAACCGAACCGTGAAAGAGCCAGCCAGGAATCTGCCCGCCAGACTAGACACTGAGCCCAGAATCCTCTCCAGCTTCACAAGGCTAGCTGTGATGTTGCTGAGCCACCCCACCACCTTTCTATAATTGCATAATAAAATGCAAACTGAGAAAACTGTGTGTGGCATGGAAATAGGGGGGTGACCCTAAATAAACATCCCACTATTCACCCTGGGTAGGGGCTGGGGTGGTTGATACTAGTAAGTTATACTAGTAAGTTAGGGAAGCAGGTGGGCTTTATTGTTGAAGAAGGGAAAAGGAGAGCAAGGGTGAGACCAAGAGACTGAAAACAAAGAGGTGACCCTAAAAGTTGGTTATGAGCTAGATCCCAGAAAACTTGACCTATTTTGCCTCTCCTTGGCTTCGTATCCTGTCTTAATTGTGTAATTTTTAAAGTATTTTTAGGTGTGTCATGTTCCAAAAAATGAAAAAAATATCTTTTGAAAATGAATCCAATCACTTTGATTCACTTCATCTATAACATTTAGACAAATTAGTCTTCCAATTTAGGCACGATGATTGAAGGTGGCAAAACACTCCTTGTATTTTCTGGGCAGACATACTAAGTGGAGGAAGAGGTCAAGGTGATCAGGAAAGGTCCTCATTTGAAAAATACAAGAGGAAATGGCCTTTAGACAGGGATCTAGTTCAAGGTTGTAAGAAACTTCTCAAGAGTAGTGAGCTGTGCAAAAAGATCTACAGCTATGTGTACTAGCTTTTGTGGAATCCACTGAGATTTTAATGTTGATTCAGAAGATGAGTGTGTAAGAGCAGTGCATTTTCACATGAACAGTTTTAGAGAGTGTAGTACCAGGCAGCTCCCCAACCAGCAAGTATCCAGCAAGTTCAGACTGCATTTATTTACTTACTATCCATGAAGTAAAAAATTGACCTGGGCTTTAATCTGTTTTTCAACTTTGGTATCAATGAAGTGCAAATGCCTAGACTTGCTCTTCTAGGGAGGCCTTCTTAAATTTCAATTGCTGTTGCCATTTTTTAGCTTCCTAAATATAGTCCCCTCTCAGTTTTGGTCATTGGTGTTTTACTGGTCAATGCACAGTCACCCCTTTCCCCAGTAATGGCCTCACACTCTTCATGAATGAATGGTTAAACAGATTAGGAAAAGCAAACAGAACTTTCTAATAGTAAAGAAACCTCTGTGTGTGTGTGTGTGTGTGTGTGTTCATCAATATATGGGTTTTCTTATATGAATGAAGGAATGATTAAACAGATTAGGAAAGCAAATAGCATTCTCTAACAGCAGTGTGAGTATGTGTGTGTGTGTGTGCTCACACTCATCACACTCACCACTAGATTGTCAGTAAAGGAGGAAAAGAAAAATAGATGAAGGTGGGGGTGGGTGAACAGCCTTCTGCTGCTGCAGCAGTAGACTGATCCCTGTATTAAAAGGTTGTGCAAATGTGTTAGGGGGTTCATTTGTTTTTAGAGACTGCAAAGAGCAGTTATCTTGCTGCTTTTGGAATATCTGGCTGTAAAATAGTCCAAAGTCCATGGACACCTATTTTCCCTCATTGCTGCAATGTTTGTTCACAGGTAGCCAGCCTCCCTCCCCCAGTTCAAGCACCTCATTCAAGGGTGGGTGTGGTTTCTAATCACTGCTCTCCAGGAGGGGAGGAGTAAGAAAAGCAAAAAAGACTGTTTAACATGATAAAGGAGGTAGGAAGGGGGTGGAGCAGATAAGAGAAGTGTTGGAAATTTACTTAATTACTGGAGGTATATCCATTTTAGTCCCTAACTCTAGAAAAGATTCCCCCTTTTAGCAGCTGTCACTCAGTGCTTCCAGAAGGGAGTGGGTTTACTTTTACCAAAATTCTAACAAGTTTCTTTTTTAAAAATTGGGGTCACTGAAGCTTATTAAGAACTACTTCTTTGGCATAAACTTGCCATCTTAACGGTCTAGAATTCAAGCTCAACCAAATCACCATCCCTTAGTTTCTCAACTATTTCAAATATTTATACTATAATGCTACCTCTAACTTATTCAAGACACAATGGCCTGCGCTGTTAGTAATGATTACAAGTTGGGGTGGGGGATGGGGAAGAGGGGTCCAAACTCCCGAAAGAAAGCTAGGATGAACACAAAAATCCCTAAAGCCTCCTTAATCTTGCTACTTGTAGGAGGCCCTACCCACATTATGCTCCCTCCCCCTCCTTGGGATGATTTGGGGTTTCCCCCTAACTTATATCCTTCTCCTAACTATGAACAGGTGGAGCAGCTCACCTTAAAATATCTTGGATACTTTAAGCAGTGGAAGGTGAAACAAGCTGAAAAAGCACACGGGACAACTTCCCAGTCACAGCAACCCAAACGTTCACTGTTCACATTTTTCTTTAAAGACACGAGTACAGGAAATATATTTTCCCAAATTAGACCACACAGTTCAAAGAAACCTGAACCAAGTGGAACTTCATTATAATGCCAACATTAGGACTGTAAAGTACCAAAGCAAAGGTAAATTTCGTTGCCAAAATGCAACAGTTAAAAATTAGGGGGAAATGCATATAAATTAAAAACAGTCCCCCCCCCCCCCCCCCCAAAGAAGGCAGTAAGAAACGCAAAATAGAATACTCGAGAGCTGGGCCCCTTTGAGAAGTCCTGGGACAGGGTTGGGGGGGGTCCCTTGAATCTGCCCCTCTCCCCTCCTCAAGTTCCCGAGGAGGGGGCGTCAGCACCACTGCAGGTAAATGGAGGTGACCCGGGCCAGCTGCCACTCAGCGCCCTCCCTCTGCAGGCCGGGCCCCTTGGGCTGCGGCCTGCCTGCCTGCTACACGTGCGACAGGGACACCTGCTTGTGGTAGGCGGCGGCGGGGCCCGGGGGCCCGGTCCTGCCCGTCAGCGCGGCCCTCGCCTCGGCATAGTCCCCCGCGGCCGTGGCGCCCCCGCTCTTGTGGCCCCGTCGCGGGCGGCAGCAGCAGCGGCTGGTGAAGCGCCGCCACGACTCCACCGTCTTGCCAGACCAGATCCAGACGCCCGACGTGATGCCCACCACGAGGCACATGAAGTACTTGAGCATGAGCACCCAGTACTCGGGCTTGGCGCGCGGCTGGCCGGCGTCGGGGCCGGGGCAGGCGCAGGTGAGCGCGGCCTCCCAGCTCTCGCGGTAGTGCTGCTCGTACAGGTAGCAGGCCACCACGATGCTGGCGGGCACGGTGTAGAGCAGCGTGAAGATGCCGATGCGGATCATGAGCTTCTCCAGCTTGTCCGTCTTCGTGCCGCCCTGCTTGATCACGCTGCGGATGCGAAAGAGCGACACGAAGCCCGCCAGGAGGAAGAGCGTGCCCACCAGCAGGTAGAGCACCAGCGGGCCCAGCACGAAGCCGCGCAGCGAGTTCAGGTTCTGGTTGCCCACGTAGCAGATGCCGGCCACCGGATCCCCGTCCACGGAGCTCAGGGCCAGCGCCGTGATGGACTTGACGCTGGGGATGAGCCACGCGGCCAGGTGGAAGTACTGCGCGTAGCCCGCGATGGCCTCGTTGCCCCACTTCATGCCCGCCGCCAGGAACCAGGTGAGCGACAGGATGACCCACCAGATGGAGCTGGCCATGCCGAAGAAGTAGACGAGCAAGAAGACCACCGTGCACAGCGCAGGGCCCGTCGTCTCGTAGTGGATGTGGCTGTGCTCGCGGCTGCAGGCGACGCTGGCGTGGCCCACGACCAGGCGCACCAGAAAGCCCAGGGACACGCACAGGTAGCAGGCCGACAGGAAGATGATGGGGCGCTCGGGGTAGCGGAAGCGCTCCATGTCTATGAGGAAGGTGGCCACCGTGGTGGAGGTGGAGATAAAGCACAGCACCGACCACAGGCCGATCCAGAAGGTGGCGAACGTGCGCTCGTCGGGGCTGAAGGACGGCTGGTAGCAGGGCACCGCGCAGTTGGGCACCTGGCCCGTCCGCACCTTGTTGTACAGCGGGTGCGACTCCTTCAGGATGGGCACGAACGGCTCTCGGCACTTGCACACCGAAGGTCCCCCCGCGGCGCACTCGCTCCCCGGAGCCGGCACCCCGGGTGGGCCCGGGAGGGTGGGCTTGGCCGGGACGGGCCTGGGGGGCGCCGTGGTGGCCTCGCTGTGGTTGTAATCCATGCACAGGATCTCGGCGTCGCGGCCCAGCACCGGGAGGCGGTCGCAGCTCATGCGCTCGGGCCAGGCGAAGCCGTACTGGCGCATGAGCGGCGAGCAGCCGGCTTTGGCGCGCTCGCACACCGAGCGGCAGGGCGGCAGCGGCTTGTGGTAGTCCGGCAGGCAGATGGGCGTGTACATGGAGCACAGGAAGAAGCGCAGGTCCGGCGAGCAGTGGATCTCCACCAGCGGCCAGAACTGGTGCACCTCCAGGCCCGCCTCGTCCTGCGTGTCATGGTTGAACTGGTTGGGCATGTGCGTCAGGTTGTAGCCGATGCCGCGGCACATGGGCACCGTGATCTCCTGGCACACCGGGGCCTTGGAGGCGGCCGCCGCCCGGCCCGCCAGCTGCGCCAGGAGCAGCAGCAGCAGCGAGGGCGGCGCGCACGGGTCAGGCCGAGCCATAGCCCCCTCCCTCCCCGCGCCCCCCGCCGCCCGCGCGGGGCCGGCACAGGCCGGGGAACCCGGGGCCGGGGCGTCCCTCTCCGCGGACTCGCGAGTGGCGCCCGGGCTGGCAACCTGTTGGTTTCTTTTTCTCTTCCAGAAACCCGTCCAAAGAGCAACTGTTGCGGCAGCGCTCGGCTCTTCGCCCCGCAGGGCTGGAGAGGGACCGCCGGGGCTCCGCTTCCAGGGAAAAGTACTCCCTAAAAAAAGAAGGTGTGGGAGAAGATTGCAGCCACTCCCGACGCGAGGGGCGGCCACGGCGCGGGCCCCGCGAGCGGTCTCCAAATCTGTAAGTGAACCTCTCTCCCTCTGCCCCCCGCCCCCACTCCTGGAACCAAACTACCGGCTCCCCACTGCCCCCTCGCCCCGCCTCCCTTTCCGCTGGGCCCTCCGGGCTGTACCCTGGCGTCGGAGCGCTCAGGCCCCCGGAAAAAGGCAGGGGGGCCGGGAGAAGAATGGGGAGAAGAGGGAAGGCGTTGGCTCTCACCTCCGCGGCTCCGGGGAGCAGCCGATCGCCCGCAGCCAGCTGAGTTCTCCGTCCCCGGGACGCTCGGCTCAGAAATGCGCCCGACGCCGGGCTGACACCCGGAAAGTTTGGCGACAGGCTGGGCACTCGAGGCGGCGGCGCATGGCAGCAGGTGGGGGCGTCTCAGAGAGGGGGGCGCCTCCCGATCGCCGCAGGCCGGCCCCTCGCGCTCGCCTCCTCCGGGGCCCCCAGCATGATCCGGGCGGGGCGGGGCAGGGCAGGGCAGGGGCAGGCCGTGCGCTCCTCCACGGTCCGGGCGCAGGACGAAGGGCAGGGCGCCGGCACCACCTGGGCGAGGGGAGGGCGGCGCGCGGGGCTCGGGGACCCGCCGCCTCACAGCCCCGCGAGCAGCCGGCGCCGGCCCCGCGGGGACTGCATGGTGCGCGCCCGCCGCCGCGTCCGGCCCGCCGCTCGCCTCCTCCCCTGCAGGGGGCTCCGCGCTCCAGCGCACTCCTGGGGGCGGTGGCGACGCTCCCGGGACGCGCCCGCCTCGGCTCCTCCCCCGCGCGCTCGCACCCTCTCGCCCACCTCCGGCGGGCGCCCAGCGGCTCGCGGCGACGGCGGGGGCGGCGAGAGTCACGGCCGCGGGCCGACTGGCCTCTCCCGCCCCGCCCGGGTCACCTGCCTCTAATGCCCGCCAGGAGGCCCCGCCCCGGCCCCGCCCCCTCGCGCCGGGGCTCGGTTGGTGGCCGCCTCGCCGCGCTCCCCGCGCCGCCCCGCCCACTGCCCCGCGGACCCGGCCGCTCCCCCCGCGCCCCCGGCCCCGCCCGGAGCGGGCAGCCGAGGCGCGCGGGCCAATCGCCGGCCGGGAAGCCGCGGGGGCGGGGCGAATGCTAATCAGCCTGCTCGAGACCTGGAGCGGGAAAGCCTGGCGGCGAGTCCCGCCCGAGCTCCCCGCCGGCGCCGGCCGCCGGGGCGCGTCTCCCCGGGATGCGCTAGCGCAGGAACCTGTGCGCCCAGGGCGCACCGGGTCTCCTCTCTGCAGTTACGCGTCCCTGCAGAGCCCGGCGCTTGTTTAAAGGGACTGCGCAAAGAATCGTTCTTAACCGTGGCACCTGTCTCCTCTCTGCGCTGTCCTCATACCGGGTGAGTTCACGTTCAGAGAAGAGCAAGGAGGTCCTGAGTCCCTACTGTGTGCCGGCCGGCGCCCCGGCCGTTGACATCCTCTTAGAAGGGCTCCACTTCTTAGAGCAGTTCTCTGAAGGAGGTACTCCTTGCACGCGAAGAAGGCGAGCGCTAGGAGTCTTGACCGAGGCAGCCAGGCTTCCCGAGAAAGCCAAGACTCGGGGGAGGCTTGTGCCCCGCCCTGTTCCGAGCGCCTGGCACACTGTAGGTGCTCGGTGGCAAACCCAAGATTGGGACCCAGGTAGCTGGGCTGCGGCTTGCACAGTTTTGAACGTTCCAACTCCCCGCTCACCCCACCCCACCCCCACCGCCGCCCCCATATACCACCGTGATCTCCCAGGCTTCAACCTTTATTTTGTCATTTAACCAAAGTATTTTGTGACAAGAACGTGCTTTTCTGTTTTGGGAAGGCTCGAGAGATGTCAGTCCTTTATCAGTCCAGATTTAAAATCTCAGGCAGTTCTGAAGTCGCCCGCAGAGGGAGGCAGCACAGACTCCCCGCTGAGTGATGTGCAGGGCGTGGAGGTCCCCCCACTCACTCCCTTGCCCTGTAGGCAGCCTAGGTGCGCACCCCGCGCGCCTCTGGGGACCTGGGGCGCCCTGAGCAGCCGGGGCCCGCTGCGAGACTTAATGGGCGCCGGGATTGCAGGGCACACAGTGGCGCTCTCTGAATGGGTTATTCTGCTGCAAGTGTTAAATGTCTTAAAAATGCCTCTTTTTTTACATGTTCTAATTAGGTTGGAAGACTGAGGTGTTTGGCATACTTGAAGTTCATTCACACGCTCACAAAGAGGGTTTGAATTGTTTCCTGCTCCTCCCCCACCCCCCTTCCTTCCACTGGGAAGAAGGCGAAAAAAAGGCCGGAGGGCCTGGAGACTTTAAGGGCTCAGGACTGCACTGAGGGCTGGGATAGACCGCGCTCATTGTCCTCAGTCTTGGATCCCATTTGTGGAGGCTGGGAGACTAAATTGCAGAATAGCCCTCTCCCTCCCGCTTATCAACAATGCCTTGTTGGAAATATGCAGAATGTGTGTATTCATCCCAAACCTCAAAGTTAAAAGAGACACATATATCAATCGCCTTACAAAAATCAGAACTATTAATAAAAGGTTAAAATGTACATTTTCCATCCCCTGGAATGCTACAGGTGTTCCTATGTTATCTCTTTTGTTTTTTTTAAATACTTGGCACTCTGGGTCGGCAAACATCCCAGGGTTGAAAGTAGTGGGAGTTGAAAAGCTATGGAATCACCGTCAAAAATAAAGGGAAGCCCTCAGCTGAAAGTATGTGCACCCTGCGAACTTGCCAAGGGAGGGCAGTTTCACTGGGTGCCCTTTACAAGGCGTGAGTATCACTGGGGCTGGACAAGTGGTAGCTAATGATAAAAAGTATTTGAAGTTGGAGAACGTTCATCACTCACATTGGAATTTGGCCAGAATATTTGTTTCTTTTTTTTTTTTTTTCACTTGGTTCTGACTCAAATGATGTTATCTGCTGGTTTGTAAATTCCTTAATCAATAGCAAAATGTTATTTTTGCTTGGAGACCTCTAATAATAGTTGTAATGCCAGCAGAACTCCGCCAAAACAGACCTATTTTATATTGTGTAGCTTTTCATATCATTGAATTTTTGCTTTTTTTTTCTTTAAAAAAAAACATCTATTACTTCAATTTGAAGGCAGTTTAAAATATGCTGACTGTTTAGCCTCTATTAGGCAGGGCACTTAATAATTCATTTACCTTAGCTAATTTAACCCTCATGATAGTATGATAGTCAGATGAAACTGGCACCACAATGACTTGCCTGAAGTTATTTATTTATTTTGTCCATGAAAATGATTGAAATGAAATGAAAATGTTCTCTTGAGTCATAATTTATTATTCAAGAAATTAATAACACTCAATTATGTTCAGATGCAGCTTTTAAGCACCAAGATTTTTGCCAGGCATTCTTTTCTATTTATCCATCCGTCCATCCATCCATCCATCCTTTCATGAAAAATCAACTTTCTGAGTTGAGGACACGTGTGCTTTATTAAACATATTTTTACAAAGTAAAAGTCATGAAGTTCAACTTAAGTTATTCAAGACATGGACAGAATACTGAGGATAATACTAAACATTCTATCTAGTGAGTATGTGATGTTCCAAAGTTTTGCAGTGTTGGTTTTGAATTTTGCATTAGAGAATAGTTACAATATTTTATATCTTACTAGATTTGTGTTGATTATCCACGTATTCTGCTGAGATACTTGAGAGTTCAACGCTACAGAAATGAGTGGACATGAAGACAATGTATATGCTTGACAATCAAGGCAGGAATCGTATGCTGTACCTAAACATCTTCAATAAATACTTTTGGAATAGGTGGTTGAATAAATGACAAATGAGATTAACTTGTTAAACTTTAGCAACTGGCACTGAATGCTCAAATACTGCTTACTTTACTTATGAGCTAGAGCTCTGAGGCTGACCGTCCCCTGTTCAATGCAGCATGAGTTCAAACCTTGGCTCTGCCTTTACTAGTTATGCCACCATGAGCAAGTCACCTGAAAGCTCCAGGTCCTCTCTCCTCCTCTAGAAAATGGAGAGTTAAAAATAGTTGTCTACCTCATAGAGCTGTAATGAAGAGTAAACAAATTTAGATGGCAAAGGATGTGCAACCACGTCTAGTATCCAATAAGTCTGGGTCTTACCTCTTTTTTCCAATTTTCTATATTTTCTTTTGTATATTAATTTAATAATGGAAAATTACATATTTAGATGTACTTTGTATATTTGAGTATACTCTCAGTCTGCCAGCTACTTCTAGTACTTTGACATCAGCTACATTTTATGCTAAAGCTAAGCTCATTTTATTTACGTACATCTGACATCAGCAACCAGCTTGTGAGTGTGTGAGGGGCCCAGTGCATGGACGCCCACACAGGCCTACACGAATCCCTCACGTTGCGCCTCACCTGTCCTAGAGCATTTCTGACCTATCCTCATCAGATCAGATACCTCTAGACAAGAAACCAAGACATAAGCAGAGGACTAGTGTGATGAGCCATTTATCCAGGCTCATAATGAGAATGCCTTGTTCACATTCTAAATGGAATAATTCCACTGTAATCTTCAGTCCTCTCCCCTCCCCCACCATAGTGGAGATTATAGAGAAGTAAAAGCTTCTTTCTTCCCCCTCCAGAGGTAATGGAAGGACTAATCTTTTCCTCATTGAGTAGTGGCTCTCAGCTGCACTTTACAACCCCAGGGGAGCCTTAAGGAACACTGATGCGTGGGCCCTGTGAAATCAGAATCTCTGGCTGAAAGATCCCAGGCATTGTTTTTTGGTTCCATTTGTTTATTTTTATTTTTATTTTGTTTTTTATTGTCCAGGTGATTCTGATTTTTAACTTGGGCTGGGAACCACTGACACTGCTTTTGGTATTTGTCTAGTATAGCCCCAAACCTGAATCTAAATGGACCTTGTGCAAAAAGGGTTAATCACGTCAGTGTGTAAAATGGAACAACTCAGGACAAGGTATAAAAAAAGAAGTGCATTCTAGGCTAATTGCAGGTGAGCCTGTTTTGGGTTAAAGAAAAATTATATAAAGCAACGGAATTGTGGTGTAGTGAATTAGCAACCATGATGGCTGGGATAACAGCCCTTGATGGGTAATGAGCGTTTCCAGTGCGCATGTGCTGAATGTACTAAGGATTATATATATAATCTCTTTTACCCCCAAGAATCCTAGAAGGCAGATAGTATTATCCCCATTTTATAAATGAAGAAACTGAGGCTTTAACAAGTAACTTTATACAAGGTTACACACTTTCTAACTTGTGTTTTCCTGATGCCAAAGTCTGTGCTGCCATTGATTGCAGGTTTATCTGTAGGTCCGATAGTGGAGGGTTCTGAGATCCACCAAATGGTAACTCTGGAAATAAACAACTTCTCTTGTTCCCTTAGCATCCTTTTCCTGGGAACCAGCTTGGTTCTTTAATTCTCTTTGGCCTCTTGTAGGTGGGGGCTAACCTACAGAAAGTGGAGGGCTCTGGATTAGTCTAGAATCTAGTGTAAGTCTAGTGTCATCCT